TGGTTTGATACATCAAGGTAGTTCTAATGGGACCCAAAAGATATAGCTTACCTTCTGAGATTTATAAAGGGCAAATCAACCGAAAACATTAATGTTACCCAATCTTCCTCTTGCCCCATCAGAGTGCAGGACTGAAACAGGGAAGCAAAGGCCAAATAAAGATTACAACAGCTCCAAATACCGTCATACTTTCTTGCACATGTTTTTGTAAATTAAAAGAGTGCATGTGCACAGACAAGACAAGAGCAAGAAGCTCTGTCTCACATCCTTCCTAGCAAGAAAATCCATGGAGGAGATGAGGGCAAACAGAAGTGCTTCTGCTGCTATTGCCCGGGTCAGAAGGATTTTTAATTTGCACAGGCTTTTTCACAACTGCATTGTAACATCACCCAAACCAAGGTGGGCTCCATGGTGGAGTGTGTGTGTGGAAAGGACAACAGGGATGGGAGCTCTTGGACTCAGTGGTCAATTTTCTTTCCCAGTATTAAAATCAGTGCAGGAACACTGCCTTTAAAGTAACCAGTGGGGACTGACAGGTGGGACAGTGCATCTTGGCTTCTCTGTAAGTGACCGCTTACACACACACACACACACACACACACACACACACACGCACGCACGCACGCACGCACGCACACATGCAGTCATTATTGACCATTCAAAAAATCAGACTCAAAGTATACAAAAAGATGCACAACAACAAATTCAATCCTTCTCAGTAAAAATAGCAATAGAAGAAAATAAGTCATGTTTGCTAAACATACATTCTGACTGCAATATAGAAGACATCTACAGATAAAGTAGGACAAAGAATTGTGTCAGAAACAATACTAATACTTTGCTGTCTCCTCTCTGAAAATTTAGAAAGAAGGGCAATAATTAATTCTTATAATGAAAATTGCAACAAAGCACCGTACAACATACTGGATAATCGGAGACCCCACACCTACCTGGGCAGTGAACTTTAATGAGTAAATATCTTTTAACCTTCTCACAAGGAAGGCAGAATGCATGACATTCATATGTGCCAATGAAAACAAAGCTCTAAATAAGTTTGGGATTTCTTAGGTAACTGGTCTCCAAACAGACAAGGAATGCCAAGACAGACAGAACAAGAGTTTAGATGCCAAGGAAACCTGGCTCTGATGATCAACTAAATAACAACTACAGTAAATCAACATCAAATAATGTTTAAAGAAACAAATGTTCTCCCTCTTTCTTCATCTAGAAACAGACATCCCCCTGAAATAATCTCAGTGATAAAAACTTGGAATAAAAAAAATTAAATCAGCTATTTCTATATGAATCATAACAACTCACTATGCAGTAAGTGGAAGTCCCATTGTTATAGCAAAAACTGATTCATCGGCAAAAGATCAAAGCAAAGGCCATGTAGATCCAGATCTCCAGCCAGCTTTCAAACACACAACTACATTTGCCACACACTTAGCCACTCAAAGAATAGAAAGAATAACTCCACTCTCTTGACCTCCCCATTAACACACATCATGCAGATGCCCACTTCATACAGACATTCAGCTAATGTTTTTGTAGCACAAAAGACCCAAAGTGCTAAATTAACAGCATGACCATTCTTGGTGTGGAAAAATTTATATTCAGTGGCTGAATTATTATGCACTACTAAAAGTGAAAAAGCTCTATAAAAATTCCAATCTGTAGCACAGTGGAAATTAATATCAATTACATTTGTAGTAGAAAGCGTTTTAAAATGTGTTTTTATTGAGTACCCAATGATCTTGTCTCTTAAATATGAAGAACACTAACATTTTAGATTTACTGTAATTTATGGTTATGTTGCTGGCACTGACATATGGAGCAAAGGCCTATATTAGATTATGTAAACCAAGTCCCAACAGGAACTATAGAAACATATCATCGGCATACATTAGTAACTGCACTTGAATAACAGCTGATCTCTGAGGGCAGGAGCCAACTTTTCAAAGGGCAGGAGTCAGACTGTTCACTAACAGGGTAAACAGGGTGGGTTGAGTAACACAGCCATGTCTCATATTTCAAAGAGAAGTAATTGCATTAATTAGTTATCCCCCAAAACCATATCTTACTTGTAAGAAATATAAACTTTCAGTTAGAAAGAGTAATCTTTTCATTAATAGCGTTTTTAAATTTATCCCACAGAAAACTAAAGAGTATTAGATCAAAAGTGGCTTTCAAGTCCATAAAAGCTGCAAAAAGTTTCTGAATGGGACCCTGAAAGTATTTTTAGCTACTTTGAAAAGTATTTAACAACCAGGCCTAAATTCAAATTCCTCGCAATGTGCAGCATAACTGTTCCCAAATATTGGATGAGTCGGTAAGTAGATGAGTCAGGCTTAAAATGTTGATATTATCATGGTTCTGCACCATGTTATCTGATGAAATCCCTGATCTGATTATAGTTCTAAACAATCTACGTAGCACATTTGGATCCACTGGCTTATATCATCTGGATGAATAAAATCATGCCTAATGCCTTTTGCATTTTACAGCTGATCAACTGAACTCTTATTTCCTTAGTTGTAACCAGCTGCCACTGCAAGTGAGCACTTCGTTGCTCTTAGTGAAATTCTTCCTTAGGTCATTTTCCCATTTCTTCAAGACTCCACATTGGTCTCTTCAACATACCTGCACACATGAAAGCCAGCTCTATGGGCTTCTATATCTACATCTAGGTTTCACACTATTTTATCCTGAATTGATTTATTGTGACAATAAATGTAAGTTTTTTATTTTTACCTCACTGGAAGCATTACGGCTATGAATTAGGAATAGCATATGTGCACATTACTAGCCTCTTGAAATCTCCTTAACATCCTGCTGGCTGATAGAGGTGGAAGAGAAGGCAAAGTCTTCCTCTCTCTCAAACCCAGAAGACCAGCGGGCCACAGGGAGTCCAATGTGGATTTGAAGATCAACTGTCTGGGCTGAGGTTGTACATAGAGAAAAAGTTTGATATGGCAATTGGCATAGACAGTGGGATTAACAGTTTATCAGGAGTGGTCATCAAGGTCAAAGGTAACTCAGCTGATATTGAGTATGGTGCACTTGTTAGTTTCTAGTATCATACAATTGTATGTTGCATGCAAGAGTTATACTGGTAGGGAAGTTGAGCATCAGGCAAGAATAATAATCCAAAATAATAGTTAAAGAACATGCAAAGTAAGAGCAAAGAAGCTAAGAAAACCATAGCAGATGAAAGGGAACTACAAGAGCCTGTCCCAGTCCTGCATGGTAGTGTGTAGGCATAGCTGCTACCCCAACCTTTAAGCTCTGCTTTAGAAAGGTCTGAATATTCTTGCACTGGTGTAGAACAAACCATGTGTGTAAGTTACAGAGACCACAAAGAAGAATGCTCTTCTACACATGTTAAACCTGATCAGTTCAAGATTTGGGTAATAAATCTTTCCATTACCCACAAAGTTTATGAAGGAAATATTTATTTCAACATCAAACACAAATTAAAATATATATGAAGTGTTTTATGGATTGAAGCATTTTACTCAAGAGTCATCACTCATCAACAAAACTGTTTATTTTCTTTCAGCTGAAGATAAAAGATCCCTCGTCCACTGTACATAAAAACCACAAAATTAATAAAAACCTGGCCTTACTTGCCAACTCCACTTAACACAACACTTAGTCACAACATGGGGTGTCTGTAACAGATAAAGAAGTAATAAATTGTATTGGACTTTAACATGGTGTATAAAATGTCCTCAATTCATCAGTAACAGTAGATTATATAGGACCAATTTTGTCACAATTTTTCATCTGACATACAAGATAAACACTAGATGAGCAACTGAAGCTCACTCTGCATTTCTGGAGAGCTAAAGATCTGACACTATGCTGTCTGGAGTTATGATTGATTTCTGTCACACCAAAGGTTCCCTCTAAGGTGCACACCCGCACAACTCCACCCCACCTCTGTGTAGCATTCCTCCTCCTCCGCGCCCACATTAATTGTTTTCAGCCCCCTTAGTTCTGGTTGCAACAGACCAGAAGGGGTGGAACCATGCAAGAGAGGGGCAGAGTCCCACCCAGTGGAACTAAAAACTAGAGGGAACATTGGTCACATCAGCAGTTTGCATTTGACTTCCAACAGGTCTTTTGCAAAACTCAAACATTCTCTAAGATAGTAGAAGCTGAGTGCTGCAAGAAGGCCTAGCTTAATCTGGTCCTCACTTCATCCAAAGTGCTCTTCACCATAACAAATTCATTTAGAAAGTCTTGCTAAATACATTAAGGCACAGAATATTAATAGAAGGCAAGCCATCTGAAGAGCAAGGGAAAAAAAGGGCTTGTGACAAGCAACTGACTCAATCATTGAACATTTACTTCCTCAGGAAAGAATATTTTATGTAATAAAAAAATAAATAAAGAGTTGATCATTCCTATCTCCTGATTGTAAGTTTACATAAATATCATAACGCTATCCACAAATAAGTCTGTGTTAAAAGGCATAGTCCACTACGTAGCATATACAATGCTCTTAATATGAAATATTCAATAGTTCTAGGATGCACTATAATTTTTCCAATTGTTTTACATTAAAATGTTGTATGAACTTAAATAAAACTTCAAGTTTTCAAACCCCCTGCATATTTATGTCCATAACACAGCATGAAGTATGTAAAGTCTATACAACTAATACACCGAAGATGGCAATCCAGAGGTCCTGAATCATCTTGAAAAAGAAATCCATGTGTTCATGGATTTTTTCTGGTTGGTCTTTTGTTTTGGAGGCTCATACAACCCAGCCAACGGAGAGCTGCTGCCAGGGAAAATTAAGAACAATGCTCAAGAACAAACTCCAGGAATGCAGCCAGTATCTATATGACCTATCTCCTTTCCCACAGTTTAAACTAACTTTATTTTGTAAGATCCAAATTATAATTTAAGTGTGTGTTTATTGAAAATGTATTACTATAGGTGAAAATGTACACAAAACGTTTTAAATAGAAAGCCAAAATCAAACATACTTTTCATGGTTCCATCCTCATCTTCATCATCGTCATCATCACTGTTGATCACCATAGTCCCCAAGTCTGATTCTAGCATAGTGCTATTATGTTCTATCATTGTTTGAGCACTGTCACTCATTGTACTAGTGGCTCTCATTGTGCCCGCACTCTCAGAGCTTGTCTTCACCATGGTGTGAGAGTCCAGTTCATCTTCATCCTGGAGGGGAAGAAAATGCAAAAACCATTTAAACTGGAAATTTAAACTCCCACACTGATCTCCAGGAAAGAACAGTTTTCTAATCATAAGAAATGGTTTCATATATATAAAGTAGAGTACTGGTTAAGTGTTCAGTCATATTTAAATTATACCATAAAGGCTGAAATTCTGTAAATTAGCATAGCAAGCCACATTAGTGTAGGCCCACTGAATCCATGGGGATTTGGTGAGTCAACCCCCCCCTTAAATTCAACTGATTCAAATAGGCCTACTCTAGATGTGACTTACTTTAGCATAGTAAATTACAGCTAGAGTAGATAACTTGAATCAATGGAATTGATGGAGGAGATGACTCATCAAAGCCCCACTGATTTAATGAGTTTGCTCTAGTGTGACTTACTTCGCTAAGCAACAGATTTCAACAATGAAGCATGTCCTCCGAGATAACATTCTTCATACGCCATACTGATTTTATGATGTAATGAAGTCAAATTAAGGATCTATGGTTCCATACCTCATTTTCAGTATTTGCTTTCCTGACCCACTCCCCCTTCTTCCAACCATTTAAGTGTGTACATGTGTTGCCTGCTATATTGCTGCCTCTCTCCCAACACATTGTACCTATTGGTTTTCGACAGAAGTGTACAGACTTGAGCTTTAAGGTTGCTAATTACTAGAACTGTAATCCAAAAACACAGACCTATGTATGCTCACTTTCTGACAGTAAAAAATAGATCTTATATACAAACAGCTGACATGAAACTGGAATCAAAGGAAAATGTATATACATTTAGCACATCCCCAAATTGACTAATATATTTACCAAAATTTTGGGTGTTTTGATTTTTTTAAAGCATTTTAATCAGGTGTGTCTCTCCACCATATTTCACTGTCCCATCAACTTAAATCAGGATAGAGAATATACTGTCTTTCACACCTTATTTGCCTGCAACCTTCACCAGCCCGAGGCAGTAAAGCCAAGAGAAAGAAAAGAGGAACCACAGTTCAACAACATCTGAAAGGACACAAATTCTCTTGATTATTCTTCATCTCTCTCTGAGATATTGTGATATCTGAGATATCTCTCCTAGTAACATCAAAGCACGCCATTTCAACACAAGCAACAAAAAGATGAAGAGAAGATCATACCATGAAAGAAGTTTCACCACATACATTATGACTTATATCAATGCTGTTTCCTCTGACTGCTTGTCTCAGACGAGGATCATGCCCAAACCTACTACCAAATATACTTTTAATGGATATTATGCAGATGGAACCTGGCATCTTCTTCACATAAAGCCTGAGCTCCACCACCGTGCTATGACTCCTACTCCAGGGACAGCCTTAAAAATCTCAGCAAAGAGATTTCAGAATATCATTCCAGTTGGTAAGGCCAACTTCTCTCATTAGTATGCGAGATTTCAGAATATCATTCCAGTGTTCAATTGGTAAGGCCAACTTCTCTCATTAGTATGTACTTAAAAGGGTTTCTTTGGCTATGACAAAGCGGGCAAGAAGAAAACCTGTTGGTGCTTTGCAGAAAAGTATCTGCTAAGCAGATGCTTCGGGATTGTGGAACAGAGTTAATTCCAGCAAAGGATACAAAAGCCTTTCCAATCAGTGGCAGTAATGTGCCAGGAATGTAAAACAGAGAACTGATGATAATCCAGTTCATGAATCATAAAATCCATATGGAATAGAAATATTTGAAAACATTATTAGGAAATCCTACTCTCTTTCTGAAGTTAGATTTAGAGGATGTGCACAATATCCTAGCTATTTAAGGACTAACATGCTGTTCTACGTTTCAAGTCCCTTTTACAAGGGCACATTCTACAACCCACAAAAAAATAATAATGGGAATGCAGAAGGAACTGTTTGTTGATTGTATAAAAGCTTCCAATTAAGTGCTTGATCTTAGGCAATTCAGGCAAAAAACAGTTCTTTGATTTTTAATCTGCTTTGAAAGCCAAATAAGATCAGTTAAATATACTTCTACAATCTATTCTAACATCATGGATGTTTCGTTTTGTTTTTTTAAACCCACCCCTACAGACTTCAATGGCTAATGAAAAACCACAAATCCATAAAGAAGTGTTCTCTAGCACATCATAAAAATTGTATTCTTGCCCTCTTGAAGGAAGGGAAAGAGTAAACTCAGGAAGCTCTGACTGTATCCATTGATGCACATGGCACACAAAAACTTTATCTGCCTTTACAAACAGTTTGACAATCAAGACAAATCTTACTTTAAATGCCACGGAACTAGTTCTTTATAGAGATATTTCTGAAGACTTGTTCATGTTCTCTGATCTATTAAGTGTTCTCTGATCTACTAAGTTCTCTGATCTATTAAGATGTATCCAACAATAGTTTTGTACCAGAGTGAAATACAATACTGTACTTCTGAAAGGCAAGAAAACCACCAATACTTCCTAGTCAATGCAGCCAATTGAGCTTTCTGAAAAGTTGTTCCTGAGCACAGGAAACCTCTGCAACACTAATGATCATGCGCTATAGTAGGTAACAGAGAATGGCAAAAATCAGGTGCTTCACCTTAAGATAAAATATTAGATTTTTTTAAAGTAAGGGAAAGTCACTATACTGGAGTGTAATCTAGCTGTCCAAACTCCATTCGTAAGGCTCAACAGTAAATACAATCCCTATCCTGCTTCTGAATAAAAAAAAACCAATAGCATGTGGCTAACTATGCTTCTCTTAAAAACAGGCAATTAAATGATTTATGTTCATAGTGATAAGTTTCATTTTATTAGCTGTAATGAAAATCAGGAATGAAAAACATTGCAACAAGATATATATGAAAATCATTTGTTCCTGCCTGATTGACCTCTTCACCCATTATTTAAATATGTGCCCTTTAACATGCACTCTAAAATGTTTTATTCCACATCATTCCTTTACCCCTCTTTCCTTTTTCAGATTCTTGTATTCTTTTAACTTAATTCACATTTCTAATATCTCATAATGACAAATCAATTTTTACTTTGATCCAGAAATAGAATGGAAAGCTCCAACTACACAATTTTTCCAATGCTTAGAACTGGAGCTTGAAAAATCAGTAAATTTGTTTTGATTAACATAATTACAGAAATCTGTAAGCAGAAGTGCAGCTCATGTTTAATCTAATTTGGTTGCCCTACAAATAATCTAGCATGTTATCCCAACATCCAAATTCTGAAATTTCATCTATATCAGTATTCTAATTCTTTATGCGTGTCTGCTATTGACCTTCCCTCCAAATTGGATCAATTTATATATAAAACCCAAAAACTATTCATCTAGAAAATAGGACTATCAGCTTTTCACATTATCATTTCTATCTATTCTTCTTTCAATAGTATATTTTATTCTTCATCATTCTATTATCTAGGTGTCCAAAACTGACATTTAAGTCTTCAAAATATTTATCAAGCAGTCTCTACTTTATCCAATTTTTCTAATATGTAGACTAATCATATTTGTCTTATTTAATGCTTCAATCTTCTATGATACAAATTTTTCCATATCTTACACTTTGCCTCTAATACTGTAGTCCTTCATCCAATTTTTGTTTAAGCCTTTCATAGATATTGAAATATTTGTAATTTCATTTACAGTAAAATTAGATCCTCCTTTTGCCATATGTACAGCCAGTATGTATGTAAGAATAGAATGACCAAAATCCTGTTGCTTAGAAAAGTGAGCTACTTATTTACCTCCCCATATGGCTTAAAGCATTCTCTGGGTAGTTTACAATTTAATTATGCAGGATGCACAATGTCCTCCAACTAACTAGGTACTCAATTTACAGATTTTAGAAGGATGGAAGCTAAGTCAACCCTGAGCCAGCTACCTGAACCCATTGGGATCAAACTCAGGTTGTGAGCAGAGGCTTGACTGCAGCACTGCAATTTAACCACTGCACCTCAAGGTTAGTATAGAATATTGCACTAGAATAGGCTTAATGAATCAATGGGGATTTGATGAGTTGCCTCCTCAATAAGTTCTATTGACAGGTCCACTCAAACTGTGATGTACTATACTAAAGTAAGTCACAGTTAGTCATGACAGTGTAATGTCATATGTTGTTATTCATCTGAGATTGTATTTATCAAATTTTCAGACCTGCTAAGAACTAGATGAATTTATTATGTCCTGATACATAAAACAATAGAATGCAAAGAGGATGTACTTTCTTTTTCATTTGACTATATATGCACCATTTCCTAGGGCAAGTCTACAGAAACAAGACAGAGCAATATAAGAGGATAATACGTATACTCTGTACCACATCAGTGTTAATCACATTGCTTACAAATGACCTGTGATGTCCAGTTTCTGCCAATCTTTCAATCTGAATCACACTGGCCAGGTCGATGAAATGGAGAGGAGGAGGACAACTGTTATTATCTACATCTACACTAGATCCAGTCATTAGTCTCAGCTACAATAACCCACTGAATCAAAGGCTAGAATCTTACTGGCAGTATAAACTTATGTAAGAAAACTTACTAAATCTTGATAGCAAATTACAATCAAAATCCAATGTGATTGTCCATATGCAAATATGAATGATCAACAAGATTCTGGAAAACATGATTTTCTTCTTTTTAAAAAAGAAATATATTTTCTTAAGCATCAACACAAAAAGCTTCATTCATTATATGGATCTACTCTACCTAGAACTAACAATTTGGCTTTGTCCTTGAAGTCTAGTTTATACCAATATATCTTCATACAGTATCAATGTCCTAAGCCCCTGATATTCCAGGCCATTAAAAAGTAAATTCATAGCACTTTGCCTGAAAATAGTAATTTTAACACCACAGGGCAGGGTTTGTTTGGTTCAGACAAGCGTGCCAGGATTTACATCCCAACAGTGGAGAGACAATACCTTCAAAACAGTCTGTGTACTCTACTTTTTAAAAAATTACTCATTTTGGAATAACTAATGGTTACCTATGGGGTTTTATCCTGAAAAGGTACCAAATATATGT